CCGTAGACTCATCATCATGCATTGTTGCAGCATGTGCTGGCGTTCGTGCGGCACATGACTGTTGCAAGTATATCGCTCGTAAATAGAGTGAAGTGCAGCACGTTTGCTCGCCTCGACCTTGATGTGGACCTTCAAACCGTTCTATTTGGCGTAGAAAATCAAGGCTGACGAAGGAGTCAGTGACCCTTTCGGCTTGAAGCGCTTAAAAATACCGTGATAATACACATTACTTACATATCGGTTGTAAGTGYATTGGTTTCATGTCGTTCGGTGTCGGTTTTTTGTGTTTATCAATTCCAAGTGCTCAGTGAACTCGCGCCGGCGCACTCATCGYACGGATTTCCTGTCGCTCTGTTTGACTCACTCAAATGTCAACTCGAATTATTCGCATTAAAAACGTTGTAAATTAATTTTACTGTCATTTGCGGTAAATTTGCGCTTACTTCACTTTCGTAAGCCGCTCTTCAGGCGAAATCAAAATGATTTCCTTACTGAATACAAAGCGTGACTAAGTGCTGGCAGTTTTGCTTGTTTAACCATATTTTGAAGGATTGAATTCGGATTAAGAAAAAACATTTTTTGTCGGACTTAAACCTTCGTTTGTGAACTGAAACCAGAAATTGCTGTATATTGCAACGAAGCCTTTACAAACACAAAATATTCCATACAAAAACCTAATTTTGATCGGTTAGTTTTTTATGTCATCTATATATTTGTTAATAAGTCGTACTGTTATCTTGGATAATCCGTGACGAATTTCGTTAAGATAGCTCGTCAAATAAAWTAGTTTCTTGAGTAGAAAAGAACGTGAGCGACTTCGAAACCAACTTTATGTACAGTTTGAATTGTCTTCACTTCTGTGCAATCTGTTGGGAAATATTTGCGTGTGAGAATACACAAATTGGTTATAAATATATTTTTTCGGGCACTATCTCGAGTAAATATCAGGTCTAGTATTCATTTGGTGAAAGTATAAACTTCTTCGGCATCATCCCCACTTTGAAGTGCAGCTTTGGTTAAAATTTCCGTCCGGATGTGTAACATATACCTTAAATATATCTGCATTTACTTCATTTTTAGCTTCATTTAATAAAAAAACAAAATTTAAATAGGGGAAGTTGGAAAAAAATTACAGCTATTCAAAAATGAGTGAAAATAATGAAGAAATTCGCTACATTTTTAATTATAAAAAAAAGGAGGAATGACACGCAAGTCACCAATGAAATTTGTGAAGTTTACGGAGCGATGCTGTATCAGTTCGTGTAGYACAACAATGCTTCGATCGCTTCTGTTCTGGAAATTTCGATATGAAATTTGCACCTCGCTGTGGTCGACATATCGTTGAAGAAATCGATAAAATTATGGAAAATATTGATCAGGACCATCACATAAGCAGCCATGACATCGCTTACGAACGTAACATTTATTATCAAACTGTTTTCAACCATTTAAAAAAGGTTGGCTATAAAAAGAAGCTCGATGTTTGCGTACCACATAAATGATCAAATTGAATGAACCGAATTAACATCTGCCCGTATTTGCTGAAACGAAATGAAATCGAAATATTTCTGAAGCGAATAGTAACAGGAGACGAAAAGTGGTTCAAATCCGACAATAATTTGGAAAATGATCATGGTCCAAGCGCGGTGAAGCTCAACAAATGGTCGCAAAGTCAGAATTGACGCTTCGAAAGGTTATGCTAAGTGTTTGATGGKATTGGAAAGGAATCGTCCACTATTAGCTGCTTCAGCCTGGGCCACCATATAGCGCTGACATTGCACCATCTAAGTACCGTTTGTTTCGGTCAATGCGGAACTCCCTTAATGGAGTAAAGTTGGCTTCAAGAGAAKCCTGCGGAAATTACTTGTCGCAATTTTCGAATTCGAAACCAGAAAAGTTTTACATTTATAGCACAGATAGCAAAAAGTGGTCGACCAAAATGTTACATATTTGGTTTATTTATTTCTTAGTTTAAATATAAAAAAATATATCTGAAGTTTGATATTTCTGAAAAGACTTTTTCGACTACCCAATATTTCGGTATTTGGCAATCCTAGTGTGGCAATCTGGCAACTCACAACTTTATCGTAAAGTTTGACATTTTTGTTCGTAGACTTCCTAAGGACGTTTGGACATTTACATGTGCTATTGGTGTTGTGTTTACAGTAACTTAAAATAATCACTTCGACCAAAAAATTGAATTTAATCGCGAAAACTTTCCCGCGATTATTTGTTTACAACTTTCGACGTGGATTAACTCAGCTACAATGCATTGATGAACTGAAATAAATTTTTGGCGATGAGGATTTAATGATGAACTCAAGTGTTGTACTGTTGACTGTAAAAAGCTATATCCCACCCGAAATTTGTCGGTCGCACAAAGAACGTGTCGATTGGTCGAAAAAAGTGTTAAAAAATACGATTGCGGTGCTTTAAAACACCTCTAAGAAATCCTAAGAGATGTTGAAAAGTAAATTTACGCGTGTGAGCCCGAAAGTAACAAAAAAAAAAAAAATTGGTTCCTGTGGTTTTGGATGAACTGAACATGTCGCAACAAAATGACTGGAATAAAGCAGCACAGTAAATTCTTGATAGTACAATCGTGCCAGTTTTCTTTCAAGAAATCAGAAAAACCAACCGCTTAAGACAGATCACTTTTCAAAACGTCAATCAAATCAATTGAAATTTCAAAACGCTCTCGCACATTGATTGAAATAAATGCATTTTTGAGCACTCCCAACAGCGATTTAATTATCCTCCGTAAAGTCCTGAATCGGCACTATAATACTTCTTTTTATTCCTGTGCATAAAATAAATAAGCTAAGAAGTCAAGCTTTTTGACACCTGAAGTGATGCTTTTCGAACGCATTTTTCGGAAATATCTCAGTCCGAGTGGCAAAATTTCTTCGACGATTGACTCAAACTCCAGCAACAGTGTAGAGATCTTGTTCTATTTTAGTGGAGATTCTTAAAAACARTAAAGCGATTTTCCACGATTAATATTTGGTATAGTTCTCAAATCCTGAAATATAAAAGGCAAAGCTCGTATCGTATATAAGCAACGCTTATCAGAACACTTTTTTTCCTGGAACAAATATTTCTATAATTCAATCAAACAGTTAACAATTTAACCACAAGTTAGTGAAATTTAAGTCATTATTTCTTTTTCGGAAAAGGGAGACCYTGTTATTTAGATATGACCTGTTATTCATGACAACTACGAAACATTTGTTTTTTAACAGTATAACATAACTACATATAAATAAATCTTCAACAAGAATCACTCACTTTGTCTATAATCCATGCCTTCCAGCGAATTCACCGGCGCCGTTGTCGAAGACGACAATGTCGCATTAAAATCTTCGGTGCTATAATCGKTGGTGCCAAAGATGCCACTGCCCGTGGTGGAGAARCCTTCTGTGCTTTGCTCGGCGCCCATTGTTGACGACGCTGTTTCTTCCACTAGTTCAATAGGCGACTCAGTTGTTGTTGTGGTGGTAGTAGTTGTTGAGGTGCTTGTTGTTGACGCGATTGTGGGCTTGGGTTTTGGCTTCGCCGTTGTTGTCGTCGTTGTGGTTGTTGTTGTGCTCGTACTACTCGGCGTAGTCGTCGTGCTTGGCGCCGGACTCTCCGTCGGCTTAGTTGGCTTCGGTTTGGGTGGTCGAGTGCTCATCACCGACGATGGACGTTCTGGTTTGGGCATAATTGAGGTTATGTTGCTCATAATTTCACTAATACTGGTTGAAACGGATATCATGGTGCTTGTGGTGATGGGTGGSGATGATGTGGTGAAAACTGCTATTAAAATTAATTATTTCAAATATACAGTAAGCAATTTAGTTAGCATTCTTTGTTCGTTTYATTGACTTACCTGTGGCATTTGTGGTGACTGGCGCATCAGCTGTTTTGTTGCTAATACCCGGCGTGAGTGCAGTTGGTGGCGGACCCCATTCGAAAGTTGCATTAATAGTCGTCGGCTCGTTGTCAACATTCGTCCAAGTTATTAAACCAGGCGTTGTTGTTGTTAGCTCAATCATCGGTGGCTCGTCTTTAGGCGATTCCGTAGTCAAGGTCGGTGATTTTGGTGTGGTGCTGCTGATAGGTGTTTTTGTGGTTGTAGTAGTTGTCGTTGTCGTAGTTGTAGTGGTTCTATGCGGTGTTGACGTCGTTGGCTTTGCCGTTGTTGTTTTCTGCGTTGTTGTTGTTTTTGCTGTAGTTGTTGTGGTGGGGCTGGGCGTTGTTGGTTTCGTGCGCGTTGTTGTACTGCTTGGMCGCTTCGTTGTAGCTCTTGTTGTGGTGGGCACAGCGGTTGTTGTTGTAGATGCTATTGATGCCGGTGTCGCTGTTGTAGGTCCAGCACTCGCACTTGGTTTGGGCACCTTCACAATCTCTGCTGTTGGCTGCGGTCGTGGTCTGGRCGCATGAGTCGTTTGTGCCACWGACTCAGCTGTTTGCGACACTTTGGTTTCTTGCACCGTGGTGGCGAACTCAGCGTTGTTTATAGTTGTAGTCGGTGTCGGAGTTGGACGATGATGCGTTGTTGCTCCGACACCACTTCCAGTTGTGGTGATATTCAGTAAAATGGGTTTCACCGCTTCGTTGGCATCGGCATCCACTGGCCGCCTGGTGGGTTTAGTGCTTGACGATGGACGTGGTTTTGTCTGTGGCGGTTTCCGACTAGTCGTCGGTCGTCGATTAATCAATGGTCTGGGTCGCGTGGTAAATCTAACAGGATCGGTTGGCTTGAGSGTGGTCGTTACAAACTGTGTGGGCACTTCGGTAATTGTCGGMCGTGGTCGATAACGATTCGTGGTGTGTACTGGCCGTTGTGTGGTGGGCACTTCATCTAACTTGATATTACTCTCCGCTGCCGATGGCGTCGTCGTCTCTACAATCTGAAAGGTGAAGAATTTCGGTGGCTGTGTAGTGACTTCCACTCGCGTTGTCAGTTGTGTGCTTGAGGTGGTGGTGAGCACAGGTCGCGTAACTGTAGTTTTGCGTCTTGGTGGCTTTATTGTTGTTGGCGCAACAGTTGGCTTCGTTGTGGTACGCACCACAAACTGTGACGTTTTCTGTGTTGTCTGCACTGGTGGACGTTTCGGTGCAGCAGTTGTGGTCAACTTAACTGGTTTTGGACTGTTCGTGGTTATGATGGGTGTTGTATCACCCTTGTCGCTGCTACTGCTGCCATTAGTGGCGTGAAGGTGACTGCTTTGTTGTAAATAGCTTTGTGTTACATTCCTCACCGTTTCGCTAATACTGTTGCTGCTACTTTGTACTGTGTGGTGCGGACCGGTAGTGGTGAGTTTGAACAATGTGCTGGAGGGCAGCGTGGTCGACTCGTGGGGAAAATGTGAAATCGTATTTTGGTCGATGCTATTGTCACTGATTTCGGGCGCGAAAAGTGCTGTGTCATCCTGAAGGAAATGTGAAGTATAAATAACGGCATAGTATCTTTAGTAAAAACTTTCTTTCCATAACTTTTTTTTTTTAATATTAGATAGCAGGAATAGTTCAAAATATTCATAAGGTAATTCTTGAAAAAATTTAAACTTAATATAATTACTTAAGAAGGAAACTTCGAAGATTCTATGAAATGTAAATATTAGAAGAGCTGAGTCGATGAAGCCTTGTACATTTGTCTATCTGTGTACAAATGAACTTCTGTGATTATAGCCACATTTTTTTTATTCTATGATATCAAAAAGGACCTAAATGTGATGAGGCTGATAAACTTTAACGGAGCTGGAAGTTTGGTTGTCTGTAGTACTAGATTCCGGTACAAGAAAATCAATCAATCCAACAAGAGCATCTCTGGGCGGAAATCGCGCAACGTTCTGTCTCATCATGTTGTAATAGACAGAAGGCATGACTCCAGTGTACTAGACGTGCGTAAATTGAGATGAAAAAATATCACCTCGGACCACTTAGTCCGTCTCCTAACTATTCGAAATTGAAAAGCTGCTCACACAAGTACCAGGCAAGCAGGTTTTTACTACGTTTTTGCCAATAACCAAGCTGGTACGATTAGGATTGCCGTGCCGCAGAGGAGAAAAAGCAGATTGCCTACCTCACAACGTTACGATCGACCACAACACATGATGGGTGGCATAAGAACTTAGAGCTGGAGTGGGATACGGGACGAATTTACTCACGAAAAATAAAAATGATATAGTACGTAAGTATGAACAGCTTGAGAAGCTGGTCAATTTGGTTAATGCTCAAAAATTCTACCAAAAGATGCGGCGGGTTTGAGAAGGTTTCAAGGCTGGAGCATATTCATTCTCCTACCTTCTAAATTGCAGTGAAAGTGCGAAAYTCGGAGATGCCCAAAGCCTCAATTGCTGATGATGGAATAATATTTCAATACATTACTAAAACAAAAAACCCAGACGGAATAACGACCAAGCTATTCCAATACGGCTGAGAAGAACTGACAAGGTTCATGCATCAATTTCTTTGCAGAACATGGWGGGAAGAAAGCATACCCRMCGATAGGAATTTAAGTGTGCCATCCCAATACATAAAAAGTGCAAAAGGAAACCGCCACAGTTTGTGGCAATTATCGTGGYCATTATTGCATATAAGATCCTCTTGATTAAACTGGGATGAAACTGATTAGATTTGTTCAGGATAGTTTAAGGCCTACTAAATCTTCCATCAGATATTTACCATGCACTAAATCTTGGAAAAGACCCTAGAAAAAATTATCGATCCATACCACCATTTTATCGATTTTAAAGCTAACTTGGACTGCGCTTCTAAATTTGATATCCCTGCAAAACTTATGTACACGAAGTAGTCGCTCGGTTTAAGAGATATAAGCCTGAATTTCGCACACGTTCTGCTCTTACCGATAAGCTGCTTGTCGGAACCCCCGATATCGGATCAAGATCCAGTTATCGTATGAAATACTATTTTATTCGGGAATGTTAAAAGTAGCTGCCCTTTAACCAAAGTTTTTTTTTCTTGTTTTTTTCATTGAAAATAAAAACTTATTACCCGTACTTAAAGTGTAATTAAGTACTTACGTATTTATTAAAGTTTGAAGTATTTTGTTAAGTTCTTAAGTATTTCACTAAATTAGTTTGTTAAAAGGTCAAACACTTAATTACACTTTAAGTACGGGTTTTTTGTTACAGAATTTCATTAAGTTCTAAAGTAATTYGTTAAGTTGTTAAGTATTTCATTAAGTTATTTTAATACATTGCTGATTTTATGTCAAATAATTTCAATACGTTGTAAGGTATTTTCTTAAATCTGACTTTAAATTTGCTTAATTTATTTGTCAAATAATTTTACTAAGTTCTAAAGTATTTTGTTAAGTTCTTAAGTATTTCATTATTTAATTTTGCTAAAAGCTTAAGTTTTAAGAAGGTAAGAATGAGGTAAAGAATTTTATTAAGTTCTAAAGTATTTTGTTAAGTTCTTAAGTATTTCCTTAAGTCTGACTTTAAATTTACTTTACTTTCCCTCTGCAAATAAAGGCATAAAAGTATGCCTTTATCGATACACATACATACTTAGCATATACCATCGCACTCACCTTCAGCTGACAACATGAACCAAAATAGAAACGATCAATGCACGTGCCTAAATGTGTGCCATTCTGTTTAATACAATCGATGGCGAACATACAAACACCCGAGCGGCCAGACTTTCGCACAATGCAGGGTAAATGTCGTATATTACGACCAGATTGAACTGTAAAAGAACAAAGTTAAATAGATAATAAAATATTTTTCATTTAAAAAATTTCATTGATAAAAAATTATTTAAAATTGAAATTAGTTTAAATACAAAATAATGAAATTTTAAATAGAAGAAATTAAAAAACAATCAAAAATAAAAATATTACGTGGTGAATCATTAAGTCTCAATAACACACATTTTTAACTGCAAATTAGTTTTTTAACGGTGAAACGTTTTGATTGCTGACTTAAATTKTTTGTTGTTTTTGTTGTTTCTCTTTTTGTCTAAATCCAAACATAACCCACTTTGTTCTAAACAAATAAAAAAGTCCATGCAAATTTACGCGTACATTAGCCCAACATTTGTTACTTTTGCTGTTGTGGTTGTTATATTTGTAATATTCTCATATTTACATTTTTCGTACTTTTTGTTGTTGCTTTCTGCTTTGCGACTACACAATTTCCGTTGCTTCGCGCCACAGCTGCGACGCCTTCAATTTCAACGCCAATTTGAGCAACGCTTGTAAACCGTTAGCTGTGTGTCTAAGCTTTTAACCGTTAGCRCAAGTGAAAATGAACGAAGTGATCAAAGAAAGAGCGCAAAAACAGCTAAACGATTCACCAAACAATCCACAGTTGGCAAGTTAAGTCGACAATGACGGCCATAAAAGCGTGGCGAAAGAAGCAACCAACGATCGAATGTCATATTCGGCTGTACAACAAATACATAGTAATGTGTGTGATTGTTGTTGTTGTTGCCRAAAATATAGTTTATTGATTGTTGTGTGGATAAATTTATTTGTGACCTTTATAAGTGTGTGTAAGTCGTACGCATGCCTGAGTTCTGCAGCAAATATATATGTATGCATGTGTGTGTGTATATATATGGCGCTTTTCTKTTAATAATTTGTCTTTCTATGCTTCAAGCACTATAATTATGACACTAAGGTGTAAATGTATTTTATTTCYTTCCAAGTATTTGTTGTAGCTGCTTCGAAAAGAACTCTTCTGTGTGTGTGTGTGTGTGAGCTGTAAGCGCCTTAAATGCCAACAAATACACTATTCAAACGCATATGTATACGAGTATATCATATTTATAGCACACATGTTTACATAATTTGTTATAGTCACGCAAAACATGAAAATATCGTGACACATTGCGGCATTGGTGAACAACAACACCAAAAAAAAAAAAAAGGAGAAGGAGTCAGCGCGTCATGCAACTTATTGGCGTTGACTTGCMATTATTGTTGCTCGCAATTAGCAATAAATTGAGTTGTTCTCCAGCGCGACTCGATGAGTAAGAACTTTTTTCGTATTTCTTTTCATTTAGTCGGCATTCGAACGGTAAACTTCTTAGTTTTCGGTAAGCGCTTGTGAGTTGGTTACACACATATGTAACTGTGTATGTGTGTGTGTAATAAATCTGTGTCATTTGAAGAAATATCGATAATAACAAAGCRCATTGTGTGCTTGTGATGTAATTTTCAGCAATTCTTTCTTATACCAACATATATGTACATATGYATGTGTGTTCGTATGTATCTGGGTATTTTTTCAGCAAAGAGAGAGACTTAAGCAACCAACTTGCTGTGATTGTTGATATGTGGAAGAAAGTACTGCTCGATATTRTGAAACTGTTTTTAAGTTATGAGAGCGCAATTCGAAAGCTATTATGTCGCATATAATCTGCTTTTCACACATATAATTTAAWAGTTGGAAAAGTAGACTATGTTGCGTAATAATCTTTTATTTTTACAATTTGTGGCAAGAAAAGTAGTTATTTGTAATTTAGTACTTTAAGATATTGATTTTTTTATTAGATGGCTAACTTAATTTGTATGAACTCAATAAGAAATATATCAGGGAATTGTTGAATAACTCAATAAAAATAGCAATTTTTAGGGCAACTTATGATTTCTGAAACAAAACCTAAAAATCTTAAACTTGGTTGCCACATAAAATAATTTAATAATATAAATCTATCTTTATAAAAGAAAAAATAACATAAATTAGGCTTAAGCTGAGTTTTTTTTAACAATCTTTAGAAAAAATACCTTGATTTACATTTTATCAATGTTTCTAATAAACTTTACTATTGATATAGAGGAAAAAACTTGAAAATCTTATAAGATGTTGCCACATAAAACTAATTTAAAAAATTTATAAAAACATCCTAACAGACAATAGCAACATAATCCCTGCTTAAACAAAAGATTTTAACAGTTCTCAGTAAAATTGTTGAATGAGATGCCACCTTAATTTTTTATAATAATAATTAAAATTTACTATTCATATGTATAGGTTCTCAAAGCAAAGCATTTTTACGACCTTAAGTAAATTTTTTTACGGAGTTGCCACTTTATTTTGATTTTTTTAATGATGATACTTATCAACATTTTATAATGATTCATAATTAATGACGGCGAAAGAAATTATAACTGAGTCAATACGTTTTAGTAATTTTTAGATCAACTTATGGTTTATGAAGGGGGAGCTGAAAATCTTATACGAGGTTGCCACATAAAACTAATCAAAAAAATTAATAATAGCATATTAACAGGTAAAAATAACTTAAAAGTTGCTTAAGCAAAGTATTTTAACAATCCTCTGTAAACAATTTTAAAGAGATGCCACCTTAATTTTCCTCTTATATATTTTTTTAAATAAAATTTAAATTTTACTATTTATATGGAGAATCTTAATGCAAAGCATTTTTTAACCTTTACTAATATTTTTGTAGAGATGCCACCTTATTTTAATTTTTTTTTAATGATGAAAAAGTTGAAAAGCAACATTTCTGTGAAGATAGCAACTTAAATATAAAAAAAARATTAAAATTGAAATTAAAAAAAATACGGTGTTGCCACCTTATTTTCATTTTTTTTTTAAGTTAAATTTTACTATTAGTTTAGGGCCCTTAAAAAGAAACACAAGTGTCTAGAGTATTAGACTTATAAGCTATATGTTGAGGCAAGGTTGCCATTTAATAGTTAAAGGAATTACCAAAGAGTTAAAAAATGTATATTAATTGGGTTTTTGCTTTTTTTTTTTTAGTAAAAGAATTAATTTTAGAAAGAGTTAAGTTTTTCATAAATTTTAGTTGTTCGAGTTGGCCACTCTTCTTCGTTTTTGGCTTCGTTTATTATAAAAAAGTTAGCGAAGTAGCAATGTGCTATAAAAACGTAATACAGCGAAGACTTTATAAAATTTTGCATTTTTAAGCGGAAGTGGTACATTTTTACCTAACCGTGGACTGAAATAAAATTACCTGGTTTTATATTTCTTCCCCTGCTTTTCTTTAGTTTACTGTTAATCTCGCACTTACGCTGCACTCAATTGTGTCGACTGATAATTTCAACAATTTTTGCTTTTCTGGAAATTCTTAGGTAAAGAATATTACAAAATTACAACTAAAGGTTAATTTATTGATTTAAGTCTGTTTCTGCAGCATATTGAGATGTGGGCAACAGTTGCATACAAATTTAAATACATATATCATCTGATGAAATTTGACCCGGACTGAGAATGTTGTTACACAGATTTGATTTCGAACATATTTTTGTGAGCTCTACTCCAAGTCGTTTCTGCCAAAAAGTTTAGATCGTTGGGTACATAATTCATACCCCGAACAATAACCGAAATGTTTTCAGTCGATCACAGGGAGATGCTAAATGAGGTGAAATGTAATACGCTTCATAGCTAAATAATTTACTAAAATGTGTTGAGTCGAGCCATAAGAAATCTATTTCGATGATTTCGAAGCTCTGTTTGTTTAGCTTTAACGTTGTTTCTTTATTAACAGAGCTGGAGACCTAGCTCCCAAATTTGATCAGTTTTTATATGATTCTTCGCCGAAAATTTCTAATTTTGCTACATAGAAGTAATGAAATCAAAGAACCCAGTACTTATGCCAAAAGAACAAATATTTACATCTATTGACATTACAGTGAATTAAGTCTTAAGTTCGCACACCTCATCAACTGCTAGGCACAAAAATAACTTTTAGGCGAAATTGTCTTTTATTGACCTATAAAGAACTGCTAAGTTTCATAAAATTTGAGCATTTCTAACAGTGATAACTACCACTACATAATAACATAATGACACTTTACTGTTATATGATGAATATTATAAAGAAACATACGTACATATGTTTACTGCGCATTCACTTAGAAAATATGCTAAAACTCCTATAATTTGACTCAACTGACCTATATAATTATAATTACCAACCAAATGCTTCACAATTTCTTTCTCCACATTTCATTTGCCTTAATTGCTCAAATCCATTCTAACATATCATTTTAACTCGTAACCAAACCAGAAGCCTCTCTGCATTTAGCATATTTGCAGTTGAAATATCTGCAGCCTTGCAACATTTTTGTTACCATATTTGCTTCGCTTAGGTAATTGCAATATGCACATTCTGAAAGGCTTTCTTTACACAATCGCCGCATTAATGTTGATCTGCCTCATGTAGCATGATATATGCAATTAAGCACATACAAATGCGCATATCATCCGCAAAATGCGGCTGTGGAATGATAATTGGGTCAGTAAGATTTCGCTGCTAATGCCAAAACCACAACGCAAACTTAATTGTTGGCAAATTAGATTTATTGCTGTCCAATGAGGAAGCGAACGTGGTAAGATGCTAAATTAAAATGATTGATAAACCAAGTGGAATTTGAGAATTCATGCGAAGAGAATGCGCTGACAATAAAAATTGCTTGCTAATGCTTTTTTGATTACTTCGCAGAAATTATGTCAAATGGTTAAGCAGACATGGAAATAAGTATTATGAAGAAATTATTTCGATTTATTAAGAATTTTTATTTGATATCCTAACTAAAATGAAACTTACAGATTTGGCACGGTCAGATTAGTCTCAAGATCCGAAAATATAATAATACTTTCAATATGTATTAATACCAAAAATATTATCATTACTATATTACCCAATCGCTTATCAACAGATGCTTTACTCATTTTTAGTCTTGCCTACAATTT